GGTTGATACGTGGGAGGTCCTTGAGGTGGTAGGTGTGAACCTTGTTGTTGATTCATGGAAGTTGGTTGTGTATTTCTCCAACTGAAGTTCGGGTGGTTTTGCCACCCTGGATTGTATGTTTTAGAGTATGGGTTGGAGTAAGGCTTGTTGAAGTTAGAAATGACATTTGTTTATTCAAACAAAACTTCCTTGAATGCCGAAATGGTTGGACATTCCCCAGTAGGGTGTCCTATAAGTGCACAGATCCCACACACTTGTTCTGTAGGAGGGCCAACATCAACTTGATGAACTTTTTTCATCTCTAAAGCTTCAAGCTTTCGAGACAGGGTGGACATTTTTGCTCTTAGGTCATCATCATTTTTCAATACATACTTACCCCCTTGGGAAGTAGATGGTTTGGTTTCGACAATGATAGGGGAGGCTGAGTCCCACATCTGAGAACTGTCAGATATGGTGTCAAAAAAATTGAATGCCTCCTCTAGACTTTTACTCATAAACACTCCTTGAGACATCATTTCGAAAAACTGACTCAGTCTAGTGGGTAGGGAGTCATAAAAGAATCCTACCAAAGTCCAATTCTCAAAAGCATGGTGCGGGCAAGATTGGAGTAGATCCTTGAATCTCTCCTAACTTTGGTAAAAGGTTTCTCCTTCTTTGACTGAAAAATTCATGATTTGCCTTTTCAGTGCATTAGTGTGATGTACAGGGAAAAAATTTCTAAAAAATTCATTTTGTAGTGCCCGCCAGTCAGGTATTGAAAGAGCTTTAAAGAATTGAGCCATTTTTTAGCTTTATCCTTTAGAGAGAATGAAAAAAGTTTCATTTTGGATAGTTTAAAATTGTCTTGAAAGGTTAAACATACTTCCTCAAATTTTTTTATGTGCAGATATGAGTTTTCTATTTCGAGTCCATCAAATTGAGGGAGTAGTTGAACAGTCCCCGTCTTTATAGTAAAGAGGGGTGCATCTTCAGGAAAGATAAAACAAGAGGGGACACTATTTCTTGTGGGATTTAAGTAATCCTGCAGAGTTCGAATGTTAGGCACTTCCCCCTCTCTCACAGGAATTTCTCCTCGTCACTCATCATTTGTCATTTTACTTTCACAAGAGTCTGCAACTGATCTAGGTGAAGGTGGTTCCGGTTGATTCACAGACCCAGAAGATTTTGTCGGCAAATTTTGATAGTGAGGAGCGTCCTCAGACAAAAAAAAATTAAAACAAATTTATACAAAGTGAAGCAAATATTTATACAAAAAGAGAGGTCTTTTTACCTTTCACAATTAAACACCTTTTATGGTTCCCCGGCAACGATGCCAAAAATTTAACTTGATCCAAAATATGTACACCCAAGTGCAGGCGGTCAAGCTGTAGTAATAATCCGGTTAAGTTCGGAGTCGAATCCACAGGGAACTATGATTGATATTTTGAAGTGAGCAGTAATAGAGACCAAGTAACTGGAAACTTTAAGAGTTTGAAGTTATGGGATTTCCTGAATAGAATATAAGATTCTTTCCAAGAGTTTTCTAGACAAAATATAAGATAAATTCAAATGTAAAACAGTCACCCTTTAGTTTGAGGATCTAATCATCTGGTTTATTATACTTGTGTTTTATAACTCAATTAACTCCCTTGTCAACAGCAAGTTAATCAGAAGGTAAAGATGGACTGTGAGAATTAAGCACATGATTCCGATGCCTTTCTAGAAGTTGACAAGAAATGCCTGTGCCAAGATTTAACCCGTCTACAAACAAGCAAGTGTTTCTACAAGGCATCCAATCATGACATTTATGTTCCATTCTTTAGATAAAGCACAATAATGATGAAGATTGAAATGTCATCATGAAGGTCTAGCTGGGGTACTTGCCTTGAACCAACGAGTCTTTTCATGCAAGAGTCATCCGTGACATAGAAAGAACCCATAGTTATACAAAGTACCTTAGCTTTGCCAGATGCATTCAATCATTCAATAAGTGAAATATAAACCATTAAATCATAAAGGAAATGTACAAATATAACTTCCGGATAATCAATACATGTTCATCACCTCTTACTAAAGAGTGAATGAGGAACTACTCACTCTTCATGGCTTGGGTGAAGCTAGAAAAGTGAGCGATACTTATCCCTCCAAGTAGAGAACTTACATGGTAAAGTACAATAAACGAAGAGCCGATCTTTAACGAAGAATGAGTGAATCACGTTCCATCCTTCACGACTTTGATAAAGCTCTAGAAAAGTGGAAGAGTTTCACTCTTCTAAGAAAGAAGGAAGCTCAAGCAATGGAAGTGAAAGACATAAACAATGAAAGTAGAAGAAAACTAGTCAGTTTTGGAGGGTGGCTTCCTCAACCAAAAAATGGAGGGTTGCTTCCTCAACCAACAAGTGGAGGGTTGCTTCCTCAACCAAAAGATGGAGGGTTGCTTCCTCAACCAAGAGATGAACTAACTCTCTTGATACAAGTAAATAAAACATACATCTAAGACTAGTTACATGAGTGGGAGTCTAAGCCTCCATCAAAACTCTCTACCAAAAAGTCTCCCTTCAAGCTCCCACAATGGGAGTATTTATAGGAAAGGAAGAGGAAGGGGGTGATGAAAGAATTGTGTATGCCGCCCAAGTCCAAGTGAAAACCAACCACTCTGTAGTCTGTCTGTGGAGAATGTTCAAACGTGAGTTAGTGTTCGAACTTTGTATATGTTTTTCCTTTATGGGCGTTCGAACGTTTCTTCTGTCTATGCTTTATGGGCGTTCGAATGCCAGATGGGGTTTGACCCACTCACTCAAGTGGCCTGTGGTCTTCTCTGGAAACCTATTGCCACACTCTATGCAGAACTTGGCACTTTGCACTCATCACCCTGATGTTCAATCAAATCAAGTGGACGTTCGAACGTGGTATACAAGTATTTCAGGGTCTTCCTTCTTGACTGCAACACGCCATGTCTCAGCAGTCTAGTCTTCTCATAGTTCAAGTGGACGTTCGAACATGAGTTGGCGTTCGAACGTTTTTGCTTTGTTCCAACCTTCTCCAATTTTGTTCCCTAATGCAGTGGTGTTGCACTCAAGTGTGATATTTATTGTTCTTGAGCCTTTGTTCACTTTAGGATCTGAAATGTCATCACTTAAACTTCATCAAAGTACAATTATTCCTAAAAAGGGATAGTAATATGCTAAATTTAAGTACTAATCATTGACCTCAGCCAATTTTCCTTCAGCTTTCTTCTTTGTAATGAATCCTTCCTCTTCCTCACCCAGGGGAGGTTCGAAGTCAAAATCCTACCTTGGGAACTTGTCCATAGCTTGCTCTTGGAAAGCAAAATAGCCCTTAGCCCAGGCCATGTCACACTCATCCATTAGATTAGCAATTTTAGAGTTCATCTCAACCACTTTAGCCCTCGCGTTCTCAATCTCCTTCAAGTAGACAATGTTGACGTTAGCAAGCTCCTTGAAGTCACTCTTCACTACTTGAACAACCTCATAAGCCTCCCGCACGTCCTTTTTTGCCTTAACCATGCCGTCTATTTTGAGCTTGACCTCGTCACTCTTCAACTAGACCTCGACCTCAAGCTTCTTATTCTATGATTATGTGATCATATGGTGCTTATATCTAAACATTATGAAATATTGTGATGATACTATTGAAACAAATCTTTAACTAAAAGTTTACTTTGCCATTCAAGTACAAAACAAAATGAGCATTCATAGCTAAGAACCACAATAGTTGGATAACATCAAAGTGTTCTCCAAACATACATAACCAAAAGTTGTCCAAATTCTAGAACCAAAAGTTATCCAACACACACAACCCAAAACTTATCAACGACACATAACCTAAAAATTGTCTACACATAACACAGGTCATTTAGAAGGTGGGTTTGGATGAGTTGTCTACCTCTTAACCTTTAGTTTAGGCCTTCCTATCTAGCTTGCAATAGAATTGCTAGGATAACCTAAAAATTGTCTACACATAACACAAGTCATTTAGAAGGTGGGTTTGGATGAGTTGCCTTCCTCTTAACCTTTAGTTTAGGCCTTCCTCTCTAGCTTGCAATAGAATTGCTAGGACCAACCCCTGCAATTGCAATAGAGTTATTACATGAAACACAAATTTACAATTAGCACAAACAATGAAACAAATTTCCTAAACTTTATAGCTTTTGCTGATTAGATATTATGTCCAAGAAGGATGATTTAACCCCCTAATGTCATGACAAAGTAATTCAATAAGCCAAGTCCATGAGTCTTTTTTCTCCTCCTCAACCACTGCATATGCAATTGGTTACATCCCACCATTGGCATCAATCCCTACAACTGAGAGCAATTGTTCTAGATAAGTTCCTTTCAAGAAACAACCATCCATGCAAATGACTGGTCAGTAGGCAGTCAAAAATCCTTGTTTTAGTGGCCCAAGACAACAATACAACCTTTTAAATCTTGGATTTTCCCCTCTTGGAATGGTGTCAACCACCTTCACAATCATAGTAGAACCTGGTATTGACCTCTTAATCTTTGTACTTGTACTAATCCTCACACTATGATTGGTTTTAATAATATCTCTAAAGGATTCCACAGGCCACTGTGGATTAGACTTAATGTTAACCATAGATCTTTTGGACAACCATTTTGAATTCACATTCCAATGTAGTATGTTGGCCTACAATAGGAATGTTTATAATGTAAAGTCTTTACCTACAATGTGTTTTCACCTTGGATCTCAGTTGCAAAATCATCCACTCACATGGTGACCTGCATTTAGATCTAACTCTCCATTTCTCATTTTTCACAAATCTAATCTCTTTCCTATGTACTATAGAGTATTATTTCATAGATTCTCTAAAACCTTTAGCTATATCAAATAGCATACCTAACTCAAAACTCTGGATTTCTCATATCCCTTTCAGCATTGAAGTCACAAAACCTATGTTGAGCTTGACCAAAATCTTCATCATCAAACTCATAGAACTGACCCCTTAATTCATCAGACATATCATCATGAGAAATGTGGATTCAATTCCCATGTTCCTCTAATGGTCCCACACCAGCTTCAACTAATGGCCCCGACTTCGAGTTTGAATTTACTCCATTCCCTGCAGCTATGTTGTCAACATTGGCATCAAACAATAAATCATCATTAGCCATTCCATAATCAGTGCCATTATCAGTTGTTGAATTAGAGTAATCAGAGCCAAATGAATTGTGCTCATTCCACTCATCTTCATTTCTACCATTTCTACCTACATCACCTTCATGCATTTATGGATTATGCTCTAAGTATATCTCAATAACTCTATACGTTGATATCCATTCCACTAATGAAAGTATAAGTGATGCCCCAAAATTCGGGTGTCTGTAATTACCTTGTTGATTACCCATCAACCTGTAGAATACTTGTGGATATCTTGTAACTCGATACCACGCTGCTATGCCCCATTTATTGGGATTTATAACTTAACAAAATTCGGATAAAATCTCCTTTGTACGGGGAACTCCACCCAAAACGCAACTTGTGCAATCATACAACATTGACCACACCGGGTCTATTTACCCATACTCATATAACAACATGCGATTTTACATTAAACATAGTCCATATGAGTTTGATTACAATCGTTTACATACATTAATGCCCAAAAACTAATTAACATCTTAGTTTTACAAAAGTATAGTTTAAAAGCCACATTTTCGCTTTTCTTCATCATTGAGGGCCCGAATAAGAGCCGTCCACCGGCTCATGTCTCGGACCTAAAATATTGTTCCCATAAAGGGTGAGTCACGTTCAATAGGGTATCTTCTAAAGACGCTACTTCCCAATCTAGATGCATATGAAATGTTCACATGCAATTCACAATTAATGTCATGCCATGATATAAGATGAGATTCACACATGCAACTCAACCCGAGCCTTTACCGGCTCCCTCAACACATGTAATGCCATGCGTATGAATTCGGGCATTCCAAGCCTTCGCCATTGATATTACACATCCAATGACCTCTTTAAAATAAACCATATGTCTTTGTTGGATATTCGAATTTTAGAATCTCACCATTGGTTTCGTACTTTTTTGGACTTGCACCGTCAAAAGTTTATAAATCAGTAGCCGGGTTTTGCACCTGAGGGAGTATCTAACCCTTCTTGCTCTACCCGACACAAGTTTTGCATGCAACCACAACTCAGCCTGACCTAGGTCCAACCTACCCGAGTCTATGCCTCAACCACCAAGAATGATGTTTGATTCAAAAACATGCACACACACCCACACGCATGTCAAATGCCCACGAATGTGGTGTTACCTATGCATATGCAATGTAAATGTACAATTGTAATTCTCTACCATGTTCAATATGTCTTGAGCACATTATGAACAATTCAATATCCAACAACTTTTTTCATGGTAAATTACATCATAAGCATATAACCACTATAAACAACCTCAATGTCAATATATCATATGTATATGCCAACAGCAACTCCCAAGCTTGTTATAACACAATCAATGTAATTAACACACTTAATATACATAGGCATTTCATCAAACACTTTTAAGGCATAAATGTAAACAAGTAATTTCTAAGTACCTAATTCATGTTAGAATTGATTTTAACTATTCTCAATACCTAAGCATGTTATAAAATTTTTAATGAAACCAACATGATACATCAACATAGGCATTTTATCAACCACCTTCAAGGTAGCAAATCATGTAGCAATGCCCAATTTATCACATTTTTCATGAATTTACCAAACAAGTAAATTCTAGAAACTCAATTCATGTAAGATTAGTTTAGCATATTTCTATACCCATTTCCCATAATCTAGTTACACTAGGAGTACATCAAATAAGAGAATTCATCTTAAGTCATGCTACACATCATATGGAACCCTAGGTTGAAAATAAACCTAATTAGGAAAAGAATCCTACTTCTTGAAGTGTAAAACAATGGTAGAAAACTTCGAAGACCCGAAACAAGCTCTAATCATTGCTTCCTGCAAAATCTCATTTTTTTGTTCTTCGTCAAAACCTTCAATTTTTGGTATGTAGGTATAGTCCTCGTCGTATAGATGAACTTTGATTCTAGGCTCGAGTTGATTCAACAAACATAGAGGCGTTGGGGAGAAAATCCTCTATTTTCTCTCTCTTCCTCTCTATTTTCAAAAATCTGATGGTTATGGGGAGAAAATCTAATTTTTTTCCTATTTATAACTCTTAGATGTTTGGCCCTCGTTGTGCCACACGTCCTTCATTCCTGTGTTTAGTTTTGTCCCAAATTAATTAAATTTCATCTCGATTCAAGTTTAAAATATTTTTATTTGAACTAGCTTTAAATTATTTTCTAATTTTTGAAATTTAATTTCATGTCTCGTTTTTAGGTCACGTGACACCCGATCGCCTCGTAAAATATGAAAATTTTGATTATCTCAGAATTCAATGAAAATTGACTGGGTAATTAGATTTTGTGAGACGAATCAAACAGTGAGGTCTGTTTCGTCATCCAAGTTCCAAAAAAATTTAGATTTTTAACCCGTACCGCAGTGGTTAATTACCGTTTTGCTATTTTTTATAAAAATTGAAATTTACCTGGATTTTACAGTATATCCCTATCCTTATCCAATATCCTTATCTTACTTATGAAATCCATTGTAGGAACCCTATACCAGTATGCACTCATAGCAATACATCCCAACTCTTTAGCCATCTCATGCAATTCAAGAATTGATATTTTGTCAGTGTCTACCCAATCAATGAAATTAACAAATCCACCAGTGTACTGCCTATTTGGAATGCACCATGATGCATTTCTATAGTGAAATATGTAGTACTTGCACATGCACAAATAGCACAATCAAAAACCAATGCAAAAAAAAAAACCAATAAACAATGCAACCAAACATAACAACACATACCTAAACTAATAAACTAATCCCTTTTAACATCTCATAACCAATAAACTAATGCAATCTAAATAATAAAGAAAATCAACTAAACATAGAATCTTCCATAACTAATCACAACAGTACACCCAAAGATTAAAAACGCAAAACCCAAAAAAATTGAAAACTTAACTTAAATAGAGCACTTACGGTACATCTGATCTGGATGCAAGACATCATCTGCATCACATATTAACCACTCCATTGATAAGTTGTTGCTGATCAAAATTATATAAACAATAGAGATTCATAGAAACTGCATGTGGTGGGTTAGGTTTTTGGTCTGAGAGATGCTCTTCGAGATTCACAGACGAAAGGTCAACCATCTACAATTTCCTTAATGGGGGTTGCCTAAAACACCCCTAAAGAAGGCAAGTTACTAGTACACTCCACACCCTTCCATTAGAAACCCTAACAAATGGGCTTGATTGAAACAATTAGACAGTTTAGGGGCTTAATTGACTCAAAAAAAAAGTTTAGGGGCTCAAATGATATAAGAGTCATAGTTTGATGGTCAAATACATAATTTACTTTTTATTATTATTGGTTCAAGGATGTCAAGCCCCCTAGTCATTGAATCCAAAAATTTGGACAATGTGTATAACACAAGTTATACATCACTAAGATGTCAAGGCACATGGACCTACATGATGAATTGCAGGTTAGGTTCAATCCTCTACTATGAGGATTAAATTTATTTTTCAAAATAGATTCTAAACTTTGACATCTTCCAAAAATATGGTCAAGATAATGTTTTACTCAATACCCTATTGTACCAGATCATTTGTCCTACCAGATATTGTCCACTCATCACAGATGCCAAAATCTCACTCTCTCCTGACATCTCTTCTCCAACGAGCCCTCCTCCATGGGAGGTATGCAAAAACTTCACCATGCCACTTTGAACTATATAACTGTTGTTACGGTCTAAAAATGCTTCCGTAATGCCCCATAACAACCATTAGAACGGGTTGACATATGTTGTTATGTAACAGACAGCTGATACCGTTACGTGTCGTAACATCCAATTTTCAGAATCTTGTTCTATACACACCCCTTAATGATTAAACCCATATGTTGCAATGTTTGACTAGAATACAAAATTTGTAAAAGAGTTCTTCTTAGTTACATCTTGATGTGTTAGAATACTAACAACTAGATTCTGAATAAAATATACTAAAAAATATTATTTGAATGTTAACAAAAAAAAAAACCGTAGAAGCTTTCACTCAAACACTTTTTATATTCTAATAATTTCATGTGAATTTCTCATTAAAAATAGAAAGTTAAATTTGTCTATGTATATACTCATATATATTTAAATCTCTACATATATTATGTACAAACCATAAATGAAAATCATTGATATTAATAAAAAAAATGTACAACAAAAAAAAAAAACTTTTAACCAATTCTAACTTGGATATCGCTTGAGAGATCTATTCTAGCTAATGAAGTTGAGTATATTTTTGTGTAGGCTATGTGATATAAGGTTTAGAAAGAAATTCTAAAGGTGAATATTGAAATGAGTTTTATCAATAGCAAGGTGGGTATAGAATGTGGTGGACTTAGTTACTAGTGGAGTGGATATAGAATGAGTGAACTTAGTAGTTTTATAATTTAAAGTTTAATGAGGGTGGGAATTGAGATTTGTGGGGGTGGGAATAGCTCCACCCTTAAAAATTTGATCCAAACAATATTTTTTTTCTTCTAAAGTACTAATGATAGGTCAAAAGTCACCAAAACACTTTTGTTTAAGCTATCTCAAACACATTCTTCTATTAGTACACCAAAACAACCCAACCTTCCCCCTTGCCAAACACACTAAAAAACAAATCCACACTAATACACTAAAATACACACACCTTGTGTTAACGTACATACACATACAACACACACTAATTCACCAAAATAACACATACACACTGTGTTAACATGCACACACCAAAAAAAAAAATACAAAATGCACACACACTCTTATAATACATTAAGAAAAACATTCTCACTAATCCAAAACACACATACACGCACATACTCAAAACACAATAATACACCAGTGTGTGTGAACGCAAATACAAAACATATGTACACACTATGTCAACAAACACACCCTTCAACACCAAAAAAAAAATACACAAACACCCACACTAACACACCAAAACAACACACATACTAGTACCCTAAAGCACACATACACACACTAATACACTAAACTATTCACACACACTAATACTCCAAAACACACACGCAATGCACAAACACTAATACACCAAAACATTCACACACACATTATTATACTAAAAAATAGACATA